ATTAGAATCAAATTGTGGTCAAATCTATGAATGAAAGCTTGCTAGCTCCATGAGAGTAAAAACTGAGTTGATTTTAATGCACCATTTATCTCCAGAGTCTAGAATAGAGGCTCAATGAGTATTTGCTGAATTAATAATGGGTAGCAGAGGGTAAAATGTTAAAAGTTACAATTGATGTGGTACAATTTCCAATGGACAAAAAAGCATAGCTAACCAATCAGAATGCATGCCGGCTGGTATGCTGCACCAACATGCACCACTGAATATGACCCCTGGATGCAGATCCAGGACAGGGAGAAACTGCTGGGTGGCCAGAAGAGGTGCCGTCAGAGCTGGGCTTCAAAGATGTGCAGATTTGAAGTGAGGGAGGAGGGGAAGGGTATTTAACTAGGGGCAGTTATTTGAGTAAAAGCACCGAGGTGAGAGTTCTGGAGAAAGCAGAGCAATTTGCTTTAATTGGAGAAATAGGAAAAGGAGTTTTTAAAAGTAGTCTGGAGTCCAGATATTGGAGAGTCTGATAGTTAATTCTTTTTTTTTTACTGTTATCTAAATATACAGTGTATATTTCCTGCTTCAAAACAGTAATAACAATAAAACAAAAACTTCTGAATATAATAGCATCTTCCTCTTCATTATTATTAGGTTAATTTAACTTAATTTTTAGAAGTTCAGTTTTAAAAAACAAATGAACTGTTGACCTTTAATAAAAACATTTAAGATGGAATAGTGGTTCAAAATATAGAAATTATTTATCATCACAATACTTAAATGTTCTTATAAAATCAAATGGAACCTATGACTAAGATTGAAAAACTGAAAGAAAGAAATCGGCATATCTTGGTCATGTTACCCTTAGAGCTGGTATCTCTGGTTATTTCTTCTCTATGGGAGGAAATAAAAACAAATAATAAATGTTTTATGTGGTATGAGTAATAAAGAGAGTGGGAGGGTCACTTTATAGGCTCATAAATAAATCATACTAAGTTTCCTTCGTATGTTTTACAGTCCTCCTTGACCCTGTTCTGATCTGGGAGGCATTGAAGAGAAAAGCAAGTCAGAGCCATTATTTTGTTAAACAGAAGAAAAGGCTAATAAATATTAAATCCACTTGCTTGGCCTCTCTTCTCTTTTTATATTTTTCCCAGCACTATCAGCTGGGACATGGTCTGTCTTTTATCAGAATCTGAAAAAGTGAGGGAGAGTGAATCGCTGATTTAAAAAACATCTGATGGGAAATTATTATTATAGAAACAGACAAAAACACTCATTTTAGTATTTGATTTGAACCTCGAACCTCATCGTGTGCACCATATATGCTGGCGAAGAATGCCTGTCCTAAATGAGGTACCAGAATGTTATTCTGGCTTAAGCATACACAGAAAGAGACCTCAAACTGCAGTATTGCGTTTTCTTCCAACCCAATAGCACAAATGCTTCTTTCTCGGAAGATAAAAAGGTAGAGTTGCCTCTAAATGATAAAAATGCAAATATGGTATTGAGTCTTACACTGCTGTAACCTAAGTTCCTTTCTTTCTCTTAAACTGGGAAAATTGACCCACCAACATATTACAAGGCATTCCCCTTGAGAATTGGTTTTATGCCTTTAAAATGTGAATTGTCTCCTAGCCAATCCAGCTGTTCCTTCTGAAGGGACATTGCGGTTATTGGAGGAGCACATGGAAGCGTTTGGAATCTTCTCTTTCTGTAGTTTTAAAAGATGCTAATCTCAATGATCTCCACAGGCCGATTTGTTAGCAGAAAAATTAGTTTAATACTTGGGGAGTGGAAGTGCACAGCCCGAATTAATCAGCTCAGCACCAACACCATTGTGGCTCAACGAATTGCAGTCATCTTCCCAATTAAATCATTTTCTTATCTCCTGGATCTTCCCAAAGCCCTTTAACATTATGTGATTTTTTCCCACTATCATTTTATTCTTTCTTGTATCTGCTACATGATAACTTACACTGCTCTTCGTGTCATTATTTTTAAAATTTAAAAACATTTAATCAACTAAAGCCAAACTGTTGTCATTACAAAATATAATCCACATATAAATGAATAATGTATTTTATATTGATTTGTACTGAGTATTCAAAATCCAGTGTGTGTGTGTGTGTGTGTGTGTATACATATATATATGTATACATATATATATAGAATATTATTACATATATAATGGAATATTATTCAGTCATGAGAAAGAAGGCAATTCTGCCCTTTGCAACAAGGATTGACCTTAAGGTCATTATGCTAAGTGAAATAAGCCAGGCAGAGAAAGATGAATATTGCATGATATCACTTATATGTAGAATCTAAAAAAAAGTCTCACTCATAGAAACAGAGTAGAATGGTGTTTGCCAGAGACAGGGGTATGAGGGAAATCAAGAGAGGTCAGTAAAAGGATACAAACTTTTAGCTAAAAGATGACTAAGTTCTGAAGATCTAATGTGAAATATGGTGGCTCTAGTTGATAGTGCTGTGTTGCATAACTGAATTTTGCTGAGAGAGTAGGAAAAAAGATACCTAAGTGAGGTGATGGATGTGTTAGTTAACTGGATGGGAGGGATCGTTTCACATGTGCATGGGCATCAGAACATCAGGATGTTCAATTTAAATATCTTACCATTTTATTTATCAATTATACCTCAGTAAAGCCTTAAAAAGAATAAAATGGCCAGGAAACACAATGTTTTTGTATGTCTAAAATAGGAGTGAAACCAGATATTTCTGAATCACAGATGCTCCGCAGTAGGAAAACTACAGAATAAGTGGTTGATAACGCCCACCGTGTAGATCAAACCTGTTTAGGTAAGACTTTTCTTTTTTCTCTTCATGTTTGAAAAGAGTAGCATACCCCCTCCCCCTCTGTGAAAATGTGAGGTCCAAAAGTTTCGTCAAGTGAAAGGTGGCACTGCAAACAAACATTTCCAGTCAGGCTCCTAGTTACACTGTGCAAAAAAAGAAAACAGTGACATTTATTAGATGTGTGAGAAATTAAGTGTGATGACCAGCAGAATACACGAGATGTATGTATGGTATGAGATGTATTGTAAGCATGAGAGAGTCCAGAATAATCATGAGACAGTCACATCCCCCTTTTCCCCCCGAGAGGAGAGCTCAGCTTGGCCCACCAGGTGAGAGCGGCCGCTGTGCAGAGGAAGGGAGCGAATTGTTTATGATGTTGCATCCAAATTCATATTATTGTGGGGCATTATTGCTAGGTTTGCTGTGTGGCTTATGGGGTGAACCTCAATCAGTTTATTTCAATTTAAATGAAGTGTATGGTATATCTACCAAGTAAAAACATTGTGATGCGTGCATGGTAGTGACAACACATGATGTAGATATCAGAATAAATGGTGTCTTAACAGACTTTGTCCTCAGCTTCCACTCCTGTGCAGAGTCAGATCCTGAGACACTGTTTCTCGCAGCCTAAACGTCCTCAGACACTCAAATTGCCTACTCTAGACTAACGGAAAGCTTTTTGCAGTACTTTGCTCAGATTGCCTCTTGGAACCTAAAGATGCCGAGGGGCCCATGTGGAGAGCAGGAAGCCAGGTGGCAGAAGCACTGAGGGCTTGGACAGAAAGCAGGGAGGGAAGGGCCCCGTGGGGAGCATCCTGCCAGCACCCTGGCCACGTGCCACGTTGGGAGGATGCATGCGTCTGCGTTTCTTTCCTCCTTTCTGGCGTTTATCCACTTCTCTACCTTACCCTCTTTTAACATCCTTGCTCCCAGCCTGCGTCACCACTTGGCTGGGCCACAGTGGACAACAACTATTTTGCTTGTATTCTGGGGCTCAGAGAGGCTTCGAGGTAAAATCCATTTATCACTAGAATCATTAAACTTGAGAAGTAGTGCTAGGATGTTGCCAGCGTTAGATTGTCCATGCCACCAGGGACTGAAGGAAAGATCATTTTTAAAATATTCATGGGCAATATAAAAACGAATGTCTAATATTCATTACTGCATTTTATTTATCTATCACATGATTATACAGCACAGGCCGTGTGTTAGATCGAGCTCTAAGTATTTTTGTAAATCGTAGCTCATTGGCTCCTTGTACCAATCCTACAGGTTAGGTTTTATTATTTACACCTTTGTCCTACAGATGAAGAAATTGAGGCTCAGAGAGGTGAAGTAAATTGCCCAAGGTCACACAGCTAATGAGAAACAGGGTTGGGATTCAAGCTCCAGAGAGTCTGTTTAGTCACTATGTTGTTACTCTATGCTGCAGTGTGATGACTGATGAATACAAGCGAGAGGAGTTTAATAGCTCATTGTAGTTGCTAATTTGATTGCATTGTTTTCTTTATGGTGTCCAACATCTGGGGAGTGTTTAAAGATTGCTCAGGTGCTGAAAATGCTGTCAGGCATTTAAGGGTCTGGCAGTACAGACAGCTTGAAAGCCCTCCAGCTATGAACACCAAGAATTGCTCAATAAATTATAACTAACATCCTTTGTAAATGCATGGTTGAATTGCTAAGAAAGGCAGGGAAATTGCTGTGGGCCAGAAACGAAGAAGGAACTTGAAATCAGGACATTGAACTACATAGCTGACTGTGTATGTGCAGGGAGGTATTTATCACCTTTAATAATATAGGGGGGAGGGTATAGCTCAAGCTTAGCATGCACAAGGTCCTGGGTTCAATCCCCAGGATCTCCTCCAAATATAAGTAAGTAAACCCAATTACCTTCCCCTCATAAAAAAAATATATATATATACGGGCTTGTATTTCGTACCAGTATATGGAGAGGGAGCGTTGAGACTGAGACCCACTCCTCTTATAGGGTTACCCTTTCCGTACAAGTGACAATTCAGGAAAAGGGTAACTCTCAAAAGTCGTGGGAAGGATTATAAATTTATACAACCACTTTGGAGAGCAATGTAACCATGTCTCATGAATTTGAATATGTGCATCCTTATGACCAAGCAATTCCTGTGCTTGGCTTATACCCTGGAGAAACTCTGGGCCATGGAAAAATCAGACAGAAACAAGAATTTTATTGTAACATTGTTTACATTAGTAAAAACTTGGAACAGGAGAGTGGATAAATGAATTATGCTATCTTTATACAATGGAATACGCAGACCAGTGAAAATCAACGTCCCGGAGACACGTAGCATCAGGGGTAATTGTCAGAAGCTTTACTTTTGTGAAAAAGAAGGACAAGTTGTACAGTATTTGCAGCATTAAGCCTAAGTGCCGAAAGGTGAGTAATCAGAAAGAATTTTAAAAGTTGTAATTCTAAACCTCAAGAAAGAAAGAAACCAAAAGGACTTCTAAATGTCCCTCTCCAAAATGAAAGCTCCACCCGCACTGCAGATGTAGTTGGCTTCCCTTTGGCCCAGCACCTACCCTGCAGACAGACCGTCAAAACAGGTCCCACATCATAGCAACAAAGAAGTGGTTTTACTGATTCTTTTGTACTAATAGTAGTATATGCACATTCTCATTTATTTACCAAAATTCAGCCAATATAGCTGCAACTCTTCTTTCTCTCTACCCTGCATCTTTGCCTGTTTCTGGCCTGGCCAAGTGTCTCCTGTTTCCTGAATCCACACAGATGCACACAGTCTCAAACTTACGCAAAGTCATTTAACTCCCTTCCGTTTTTTACTTGCATTTTTAGCACATCATGCTGCTTACCAACTAAAGGATCATTTTCAGGATCTGTTTATAACTGTGTACATGTGCTTTATAATAACTTTTTTTTTCCTGGCACAAACAATTAAGAAAGCAAAAACATATATAAAAATAGACAAAAAGCCAAATTTCTTTTGTGTAGCACAGGGAACTATATTCAATATCTTGTAATAACCTTTAATGAAAAAGAATATGAAAATGCATCTATGTGTTTATATGCATGACTGAGACGTTATGCTGTGCATCAGAAATTGACACATTGTAACTGACTGTACTTCAATTAAAAAAAAAAAGCAAAAACAGAACAGAAATCCAAGAAGACCCTGGAACCTATAAAACAATTATTGTTATTTTGTCAAATAACATCTTTATTGAGATATGATTCACATACCAAACAATTCACCCATTTAAAGTGTATAATTGAGTGTTATTTTAGTGCATTCAACAGAGTGGTGCAACCACCAGCGCAATAAATTTTAGAGCATTTTTATCCCCCCCTAAGAGAAAACCCATTAGCAGTCACTCAGCATTCCCCCACCCTCTTTCTGCCCCCACCTTCACCTCCCTATCTCCTCACCCCATTACTGGCCTTCTGTTTTCCCACCGGCCCTAGGAAACCACTAATCTGCTTTCTGTCTCTATACATTTGCCTGTTCTGGATATTTCACGTCAGTGGGTACGTACAGCATGTGGTGTTTTGGGATGGTTTCTTTCATTGAGCATCGTGTGTTCAGGGGTCATCCATGCTGTAGCATGCATTAGTACAACACTCCTTTTTTCTACCACAGCATATTATACTGTATGGACACACCACATTTTATGTACTCTTTCATCAGGTAATGAATATTGAGTATTTGGATTATTTATTTCCACTTTTTGGCTTTTATAAATATTGCTGCTGCAAATATTTGTGTGTAAGTTTCTGTGTTTCATGTCTCTAAGTTTATACCTAGGAGTGGAACTGCTGGCTAATGTGACTTGATATTTAACCCTTTGAGGAACTGCCAGACTGTTTTTCAAATTGGCTGCACCATTTTACATGCATACCATAGTGTATGAGAGTTCCAACTTCTACCCATCTTTGCCAACACTTGTTATTGTCCGTCTTTTTAATTATATCACAGCCATCCTCCTCTGTGTAGGTGGTATCTCATTGTCATTTTGGTCTGTATTTTCCTAATGAATACTGATGCTAGGCATGTCTTCATGCCTACTGGTCATTTGTGTATCTTCTTTGGAGAAATGTCTATTCAGTTCCTTTGCCCAGTTTTTAATTGGGTTATTTGGTATTTTCATTATTGAATTGTAAGAGTTATTCATATATTCTAGATATGTCTCTTACCAGATGTGTGATTTGAAAATACTTTCTCCCATTCTGTGGGTCATCTTATAACTTTCTTGATGGTATCCTTTGCACCAAAAAAGTTTGCCTTTGATGACATCCAGTTTATCTATTTTTTTCCTTTGTGCCTTTGATGATATATCTAAGAAAGCATTACCTAATCTAATGTCATCAAGATGTATACTTACGTTTTCTTATAAGATTTTATCCATTTTGAGTTCATTTTTGTATATAGTAGGTAGGAGTCCAACTTCATTCTTTTGCATGTGAATATCCAGTTGTCCCAACACCATTTGATGAAAATATTATTCTTTCCATATTGAATTACTTTTGATACTCCTGTCTAAAATCAATTCACCATAAGTGTGAGGCTTTCTTTCTGTACTCTAAATTTGAATTCATTGATATAGATGTCTGTCTTTATGCCAGCACCACACTGTTTTGATTACTGCAAAGCTTTTTAGTGAGTTTTGAAATAAGGAGTGTGAGTCTTCCAACTTTGCTCCTCCTTTTCAAGATCGTCTTGGTTATTCTGGGTCTCTTGCATTTCCATATGGATTTTAGCATGAGCTTGCCAATTTTTGCAAAGAGGCCGTTGGGAATTCTGATGGGAATTGTGTTGAATCTGTAGATCAATTTGGTGAGTATTGCCATCTTAACAATATTAAATCTTCCAATCTATGAATACAGAATATTGTTCATTTTATTTAGATTTTCTTTAATTTTTTCAACAATGTTTTATAGTTTTTAGAATATGAGTTTTATTATTTCCTTTGTTAAATATAATTCTAAGTGTTTTATCTTTGTGATGTTGTTATAATTGTGTTCATTTCCTTTTTGGGTTGTTCACTGAAAATGTGAGGGATACAATTGATTTTTGCATATTGATCTTCTGTCCTGCAGCCTTGCTAATAAACTCATGTATTAGTTCTTGTAGTGGACTGGTTAGGATTTTATATATATGAAATTATGTCATCTGCAAATAGCTTTACGTCTTCCTTTCTAATCAGGGCAATTTTTTTTTTTAATTTTCTTGCCTAATTGTGCTGGTTAGACCCTCCAATGCAATGTTGAATAGCAGCGGCAAGATGTCATTGATATAATATAATTTTTTGGTCATTTCTCACTAACTTTTTAAGTAAAGGAGGCGATATTGGAGAATGTTTTAAAGTATGGGCTCTGAATTTAGACTTTCTATTGTTTACTTTTTAAATTTTCTGTATATTATGATGTTTGACATCTTTTTATTATTTTTTATTGAAGTGAAATCGACTTACAATATTATGTTAGTTTCAGGTGTACAGCATAGTGATTCAGTACTGTTGCAGATTTTACTCAATTACAGGTTGTTACAAAATAATGGGTATAATTCCCTGTGCTATAGAGTGCATCCTTGTTGCTTACCTATTTTATGTATAGTAGTTGGTATCTGTCAATCCCGTGCTCTTAATTTGTCCCTCTCCTCTTCCGTCTCCCCCTTGGTAACCACAAATTTGTTCTCTATGTCTGTGAGTTTGTTTCTGTTTTACATATCCATTCATTCGTATTATTTTTTAGATTCCACGTGTAAGTGATACCATACAGTATTTGTCTTTGTTAAATTCCAGAATATCCTTATGGTCGTTTTATGAAGGCAAGTTTTTTAGGTGATGCTGTTTTATTAAAGATAATGAAATGAAAAAGGAGAAAAAAATGAGTCTTTCGGATAATATTTTTGGCAAAACAGATCATATGGGTCAGTATATGCTGAGAATAAAGAATAACCATCCTAAAATATATGAAACCTTGGGTTCAGTATCAATGATACTAAAATATGCCTAGGCGTACAACCGTCAAGGGCAAGCACTTACAGACAAAAGGATCTTAAAATACATGCTGGAAAACAGATGTAGCAGAAAACATTTGTTTTCAATTCTGGTCAGTCGGTTTTGACTGGTTGCTGACACTTGTGTACTTACGTTTCAGGCCCAGGCTGCAAGATGAACAATCTTCCTTTTAAAAAAAAAGAAAAGAAAGAAAAAAAATATTAGAAGGAAAAGTGGCAAGTTGAAGAGCAGAGGCTCAAGAAAAACACATAAAGGCAAATCCATACTGTCATCATATTGAAATGCTATATTGAAATACTTTATAAATACTGAGAAGAATCCTGTATTGAACAGTCAGTTAAGCCTATAATGCATGTAAAAGGGGGATTTAGACATAAGTGACTGAGGACCTGGTTATTAGATATGCCTCATGGTTACCTGATGAATTATCAGCATTTTATTTATTCACTCTTTCTTTCCTTCATTTATTCTTCCACCTATCCACCCATTCATTCATTCATTTAATTTTTGATTTCCTGATCCTCCTAGGCAAAGTTAGCGAGTTTAGCTGCTGTTCCTCATGACCTTTCATGGTAGATATGTCATAATTCAGTGTGATTCTCTGATGTTTGAGGAAGCTTAGCACAAACCTTATACATCCCAAGAGAGATATCTCTGTCTCTCAGGACCAAAACCATCAGAGGGTTGGAGACAGGGTGGGTATTATCCATACCCACCAATGTCTGCTTTGGAAGGAGAGAATTTGCTGGCTACTTTGGGTACTATTGGATCCAGTGTTTCTGCAGAGGGCTGTCATCCTTTTTTTTTTTAATTTAAATTCCCTCTAGGCAATGGTGGTCTCACCAGTTCTGCTGAAATGTACCTTTAACCTTTAGTGTTGGGTTGTTGTGATGTGCTGCATTACTGAGCATTAGCTGGCATTTACCGAGATGTGTGTTTGAGAAATAGGTCCTGCGTTACTTCCTGCTTGATAGCTAGATTGGAGCAATAGCACATCCTGTCCTAGGCGGAGTGCCTGGCTCCCCAGGGCACACACCAAGTAGAACTGTTTTCCCAAGTCATCCTTTGTTTGCTCTGATGCTCTTATTTCTCCTCCTTTTCAATAAATTCAGTATCGTGTTTACAGTATTCTGTAACATTTTTCATCGTTTAAGGTATTTTTCTTCTTACCAAAGACTCTCACTTAATGGGACGAAAAAATCAAGACAGTATCATTTTGGAAATTATAAACAAAAGCATGTCAGGATTAACAGTTTATTGGTAATTAATATCAAAGGTATCTGCAATTTGATTTCTGTAGATTTCTTTTAAATGACTCATGATATGATGCAAACAAACATTATAAAAAGTTATTGATATAATGCATTTTAGATGGTGATTGCTTACAAACATGCCACATATTAAAAGTTAAATATTAAAACCTAGTATTTAAATGTAGAATTTAAAGAGACAGAAATGTCACTTGAGAAGGCTGGATGGCAGGATTTCACAAGCTGGCAGTATCATTTGAGTTCTCAATTTAGGAGGTCTGGTGAGTCGATGTTATCGGTGTGGTTAGAATCAGTCCCAATGTGACTTGATTAGCATTATTCAAACTCAGTAGAGACACATGTAAGCTAGTTTGCTAATGTTTTCATTCAGTGTGGGGCCAGGAAGTTACCCAGGTACCTGACCCCGAGGCTGTCTCATTCCCTATATAAACATACTAGGGAGGTCAAAGTTGTCATCAGAATACCTCTTGGTTAAAACAAGTTCGAAACGAAGTGATACTGGGACACTGGTGGTCAGAGCTTTGGGAAGCAGGCTAGTGGTGTTTAAGACTCAAGCGTGGTTCAGATATGGACTCTGCCACTTACTAGCTGGGGACCTTGGGCAAGGTACTTATTCTCTGTGTGTGTCAGTTCCCTCGTCTGAAAAAAAGGAGATAATAGTAGTACCTACTTCATGACATTGTTTTCAGGACTGGACTGGCTAGTGCAGTGCATAAAGGGCTTGTGCCATTACCTGGTACACAGTGAATGCTCTGTATGTGCTCATCATTGGAATTCATCCTGAAAGGCACTTTGGGCAGAAATGGAGAAAACGGACTCTGTGACCATCCTCTCTTAATGACCCGATGACTCATCCGTGCTGGGTCATGCAGCTTCTCATCCTGCTAGACAGGGGTGGGATAATCACCAAGAAGTTCCTACTGCCTCTTCTCTTATCAGGCTTCATGTAGAAGCCCTTCTTCCCTTATAAATAATTTCTTTATATGGAGTACTATAACTGAATACATCATTTTGTATTATACTCTATACTCATCTTACAGCTTTTTTTTCTGACTTCAGAATTTCTTACTTCCTTTAATGGGGGGACTGTGGTAGTCTGTCTTACTGCTTTGATTTGCAAGACATCCTTTCTGGTAGGATTTCCTCAGGTAACTGGCCTAATATAGTTTATGTGAATTCTGCAAGTCTAAGTCTCAGGGATAATGATAATGCTGCTAGTGATGATGACGATGACATGATGACAATAATAACAATGTTAGCAGTATCCTCTGTTGAATCTTTACTGTGTGCCTGGCCCTGTACCCGGGCTTCCTGCATTATCTACTATCGTCCTCTCAAAAAACTGATGAACTAAGTACTATTTAACTTCGGTTTACATGTGAGGATACCGAGGACAGAGAGACTACGAAGCTTGCTGAACGTCACACAGCGAGTAAATGGCAAAGCCTGCGGTCTGTCCTGGGCTGGAGCTCCAAGGTCAGTGCTCTCAGTGACTATGCTTGACAGACTCCCAGCTAACATGTACCCTACTGTCAGCTGGATTTGAACCACCACCTAACAGTAAACAAGAAAACACGTTCTAACTTGTCCTGAGGAGATAGTAAAGAATCACATTCGGAGGAGACCTAAATGATCCTTCACACGCAGTAACACAGATATGAGACTGCAGGCTAATCATGAATCTGACAGTTTGTTGAAATCAGTCCTTGTAACTGAAAGTATACCATAATATGTGAAGTGATAACAAAACATTCTGGCGTTAGTATCAAAACATACCCAGGCATCTTGTGAACTGTTTCCTGACACATGTATTTTGAAGTTTCCATGGATGGAATATCCCATTATGTAATAGTGGGATGTGGTGTAAATCATAATTATCATTCATTTTCTGACAACGCTGACTTCGAAATCAAATTACATTTGGGAAGTTCCTCATTCGGGACTATCCCATCTCGCCACGTCTCTGCTTTATCTCTTCCAGAACCCCCTTTATTTCAGGCTCTTATTTAGCCTCTCCACTTAATAGCTCAAAAATTAAAATCCTGCATGATACACTGAGTTCTTTGGGGAAATAGTTGCCTCTGTTTATTTTAAAGTGGGAAAGGAAGAGAGATACAGGAAGGGGACAAGGATGCTTCAGGCTGGTAGCCTAAGTTGAAGGAACTTATAGAACTTGTCTGCTCACTTGTTTCAATATTTAATTAATTTCAAGGGATTACTGCTTATACCTCCTAACTAGGTCTACTGGCCTTCACCATCGTTCTCTTGTCTCTCATCAAAAATCATTTGTTTCAGGAGCTATGCAAAGTGGAGTTAGAGAAGGCTTTAGAACAAACAGTCTGTAAATTGGATTCTGTGCATTTGGAAATTATGCGGATAGGCACTTTTGTAACACAATGAGGTCAAAACAGTCTCACTGAAAATGGCTTTTTCATGTTGTACTCAAGCCAAAAGAAAGGATAGTAATGGTACCGTGTTATGTGAGCAGAAGAAAGTTGGTAAATTCAATCCAAGACGATGCTTACTTTTCAGCCAATTTTAAAGCCACTGAATGAAACAAACTCCCAAAATGTATAGCAATAAAAATTAATCAAATAAGATATTTTTATGAAAAACATACTGTATGAAAATATACTGTTACATGTAAAGTACAAGAGAAATATTAGGATTCAGTTCATAATTTTAGAGAGTTTGCAGTTTAAAAGAGAGACTAAGATATGCATGCAATTAATTAAATGGAACAAAACAGAAAATGAATGCCATGTATCAGAGGCAAAGTTTAGCCTAAAAAAACAGAGCTGGGTTGAACTGATTTACTAAAATTTAATTCATTCATATAACTACTATTTATCGAGTGCCTACTATGTGCCAGGTGGTGAAACACAGCCCTTCCTACCAATGGATGCTGATATCTGGGAACTAAATTTCTGACTAATTTTCAGGATACAGGGTAGAAAATGAAAAGAGCTTCAGCTTTGGAGTCTGAAAATCCTGAAGCAATACCTGGCCCTATCAATTGTTCATTGGGTGATTTGGACAAGTAATTTATACTCTTTTAGCTTTGTTGCAGAAATCAGAGGGCCATCTTTGATTCCCTCTTCTAACTTCATCCTCTGTAAAGACAATCAACAAATTAGTCTTTAAATGTTCCTTGAATATGTCCCATCTTCTCTATCCCTACATCCCCAAAGGCTGGCCCTCATGAATTGTTCACGGATTCTGTAACCAAAATTAGTTTTGCTGTCGCCATATCATTCTTTTTCAATCTATCATGCATGTTGTAACCAAAGCAATTTTTCAAAAACTTTTACCTGACTATAACACTCCTTTGTTCAAAACTCTTTAGTTAATTCTCATCACCCAGAAGATTCAAGTCTGTATTTCTCAGCAAGTAAGACCTTTAATGAGCTGAACTCTGCTTACTTTTTTAACCTCACAGGCCAGACTTCCTCCATATACACCCTGTTTCTCTAAACCAGCCTGTTTTGTGCCACCGGGCCTTTGCACGTGCTTTTTTTTTTTTTTAATGCCAAAGCCTGAAACATTATCCCCATCCTCACTCCACCAATCCTACCTGGAAACTTTTTAAATTTTACTCTTCCTTTAACACTTTGTTTAAACACCATCTCCTTTATGGAGTGTTTCTTGATAATCCCAGCACAGGTCATTTTTCGATCATCAGTATGCACATAGCATGTTTTATGAATCTATATTAGCATCGTGCATTATAATGTCATTTTTTGTGTATATGCCAGTTACCTCAAAAAGACTGAATACCTAAGAACAAAGACAAGGCCTTTCATCTTTGAATCCTCCCTCCTAACGTAATGTCTGCCTTTGAGAGACTGTGCAATAAATATTTATTTTAGTAATGAAGTCAGGTTCTGGGATAAGTAGAAAGAACCAAGAAATGCTTTGTGGAGGAGATGGTATTTAAGGTAGGCCTTGGAAAACCTCTGAAATCTTTCCTGAATTTTAAAAATGTAATTTTGGGATGTTCAGTGTTTATTTTAATATACATATATATGTAAATGTATGTATCTTCTTGATTCTCCCTTTACTGCTTAAGTGTTTTGCCAGCAAAGCTTTGTCTTTTCCATTCAAGGCCCTAGATGCAGTGCTCTGAGCATGGTGAAGACTTAATAAATAGGTTAATAATCTGATTTAAAGAAGCATCTTCCTCATGCTTCTTGGAGGAAGGTACCATTCTGATTATCCAGTGCTATGTGGTGTTCAAAATGCCTACCTTTTTAGCTGAGTCACAGATGGCTGTACACAATACCTAACAACCAATAAAAATGCTGATATTCACTCTCTATATTTAACTTCTTCTAAACATATTAAAATATATGTAAGTAAGTATACCTTTGATCCACAATGGAAAACACGTGACAACCCTGGGTACCTCACTGCTATTCAATTTAACTTTCCCTGGGCAGATTAAGTAAAAGTAGTAACTTGGGTACCTTTCCAGACCTTTCAGGTTAACAGTGATGGTTATGCTCTTAGGTATTCGTGCAGATTTCCTATCTAAATTATTAAATATAATTTCTGGGATATTCCGTTCTAAACTGTTGCATGTTTCTACTTAAGTAGTTCATTTAAAATATAGATGAAAAAACACTGACACCAATAAAGATATGAATTGCCGAAATCCAGAACACAGTGGAGAAAGAAAAGGAAATCTATACTGTGGCAGTACGCTTTAGGACGACTATTCCCTTCATTCTAAACCTTATGTTTATGAATATAAATCTTTTCAATTTGGTAGCACATCACGGTTGGGAACCAGAGAAATCGTCGTGGGAGGCCTCAATGATTTTTTTTTCCTTCTTTTTTTTTCCCACAAGAAAAAGTGCTTGTGAACGGGATGTAAAGAAACCCCTGCTGTCTGGAGATCTTCAGCTCGGAAATCCCTGCATAATAAGAAAGTTATTGGCTAAATTTGAGGAGCTCAGGAAGCATCTAGAGGAAACATCGTTATGTGCTGTAGTGTAGTATCTGAGATGGAGCTATAGATACACAGCCATAATTATACGTGGGTTGTGTGATCCACATGATTATATGGGGATTAGGAAGGCAAACTTGGAAGGGAGCGCTGGCTCGCCTTTCTCTCTTCTTCCTGTCCAAAGCTGAAGGTTTGCTCCCAACCTCTGGATGTCTGCACTTGGGGAGTTTTCAGCTGGATTTTCAGCCGTTCAACTCGCTCCCCGTCAAGCCAGATTTCCTAAAGAAAGGCAACTTCTTTTCACAGCAAACCCTCAGACTCACGCACCTTCTCAAATTCTGCCCGTCTCGGATCCTGAGCTAGTGCGGGCAACGCAGGAGGTGCGACGGGAGGCTCGGAAGGGGCGGTGGGGACGACCCCCTTTGGAACTGCATTTGTAACTGCCAAGGAGTAGCCAACAAGCACCAGATTTATGTGCACTTTGAAAGAAGCACCTTCACCATTGGCTTCTGGAGCGGCGCTGTCGCTAGGGAGCGGCGGGCAGGGCTAGCGCAGCCTGGGGAGTAGCCCGGGCTGTTTGTTCCTGTGACCTGGGAGAGGGGGCACACCCGTCGGGCGCGCGGACACGCACGCACGCGCACGCTCGCGGCGAGTTCGAGCCCCGCGGCCCCCGCCCGCCCGAGGGCGCCCCCCGGCGCCTCTCTCGGCGAAGCGGCATCTCCCGGCTCGCCTCCCGCCCCCTGATTCCTGCCGCTGCCGCCCAGAGAAGGGACGTGGAACCTGTGTCTCCAGTTTCCCCGGCGCGGGCGCCGCGGAGAGCCGCGGGGGTGGGCGCGAGGAGGAGAAGGCGATGAATGAGTGCTCCCCTCACCTCGGAGTTGTGTGAGTCGGCGGCGCCGTGCCCGGGCTTCCGGCTCTCGGCGCCCCACGCGCTCGTGGCTCCCGCGGCTGCAGCCCACGCCGGCGTCCGGAGCCGAGCGCGCCGCGCCGCGCCGCGCCGGGGGAGCCGAGGCTCCCGAGCTCCTGTCCCGGCCCCGGTCCAGGGCAAAGGAGGGGGGTACCCCGGCGGAGGCGCACGGCCACGCGGTCTCCCGCACTCTCCGCGGCCCGCCCGGCTCTCCATGGCGTCTCGTCAGCAATCCCGGATCCAGGCTTACCTGGAGAAGAACAAGATCGGCCCCCTGTTTGAGGTAAGGCGCTGGGGGTGAGGGCGGTCCCGTTGGTCTTCGGAGGAAGGGGTGCAGAACACCCTAGAGGGAAGGAGGGAGCGAGAACAAATGCACGGGAGGGGCGCCCCCGTGGTCCCAGGTCTCGGGCATTCGTTCTGCCCGGGCGAGGTGTCCTGGAACGCGGCCGCGCGGACACCTCTTCGGTTACCTGGGCGCGGATAGGTGAGCTCCGGAGGGACAAGTCTTACCCTGGCAGGGCAAGTTTTGTAGCCACATGTACAGGGCTGGACAGGCTGAGACGGACAGATGCACACAATCATTCTTACACAAGCACACTTTCTTCCTGGAATTCACACTGTCTTGCGCGTTGCCTCCCCCCTCCCCCAAACGTGGGCAGCGGTAGAACCCGAAAAAGGTGGAGGATGTGCTCAGCAATGGGATGGAATAAGGTTAACTGGGAGAAAACTGAACTGGTAGGGAGTAGGCTTCGGTAGGTGCGGGCGAGTCGAATGAAATTGTCAAACTGAAGCGCTGACATTGTTCTCTGGATGAAAGGAGAGTCCTTTGCATTGCAGACCCTACCTGTGCTGGGGGAGAAGGGGGCGGAGAAAGATTCGGGAAAAGCACACGCGTATTTATGGGAAGGAGACGTTAGCTCTGATCTGTTTTTTTCTCGCCACCAAGAATTGGATGCCAAAAATACTACTCTATACTGAGAAAGGAAAAGCGGGAGAACAGGAGGAAATGAGAACGGGAGACTGAAACCCAGCACAGGCAAAGCGTCCCGCCGGTTGCCAGGGCGCTGGGCAGCTGCAGAGGCCCTCGGGGAGGGGCGCCCATGGTCCCTTCTTCTCCGGGTCCAACCGTCCAGCTGCGCACGAACCCACCGCGGGAGGACGTGGGAGGGTCGAGGTGACCCTCCCCCCCTTGAAAAAAACCCAGCAACCCTTTGTGGTCATTCTTGGGGCTTTGCATTTCCGCGGTGTCTTAAGACTGAATGGCGGAGGGAAGAAGAGAGAGCAGAGGATGGAGCACCTTCTCCAGGACTGAGGAGAAGAGAATGATAACTGTGGGGGGGAAATAATGTTAATTAATGTCCCAGCACAAAAGGGGAGCGGACAGGGTGTGATCATAAACGCATTCAAACAACCAAGATTTGCAAGATCTCTTAAAGTTTTTCTAAGCAACTTTAAGTTCTTCTAATCAACTCTAAGTTCACTGTGCACTGTCTTGAGAGATACGACCATTATGTCAATTGAAACTCATTGTTGTTAAGTCGTTAAGTCCTACAGTGTATGTCTTGATTCTTATTTCTGCCAAAAGTGTTAGCAAAGGAAGTCCAGATACAAAAGCAGGGTAGAATTGTTGGAGCTACTGGAATTCCTTACTTTGCCTCTAGTCTAAAGATTAGAGAGATATATATCAGAAACATTATAACCCGCTGTGGTACAGTGTATTAACTACATCAAAAGAAGCAGAAAATAAATACATTTCGAGTGTCTCTTTTCTGGAATGTGAAGTATGGTTTACCAGGGAGAATAAATGAATTGTTTTTAGTAGATGCTGTTTTTAAACTTATTTTAAAATTCCCAAGATTCTCTCCAGGTGATAATAACAGAGTTTGGACTATATGTAAACTTTCCACATAATTAGGAAATAAATCTAATTGATTTTTATTAAATGCTCGTTTTTTAAAATGCATACCAGCTAGTTCCACTGATGAATCTTAAGTGATGGCAAAATTATCTCAAATTCGTTAGACCTCCTCACTGAAAAACAAGCAATGATAAAATTATATGCTTTGTATTTTATTGATTTTTCAGGTAACGTATTACATACATCCCCATTAGCCTGGATTGCAGTGGTGAGTCGTTAATTTTTGAGGATTGATGTGCACTTTAAATAATTAAAGGGAGAAAATGGATGTTCTCTTCCATTGAAAGCAGGTCCTTACGCAACAGTTTTGGTCATGAGGGAGCTTGATTTTGAGAGTAGAATTACACGTACTTCACAGAACTGGAAAAATCTCGCTAGCTTGTGGCCTCTCTCTCCTCATGTAGGAAACCAGTGGAACTAGTGTAAAATGGACATGTTGATCTAAGTTTCTCCTCGAAGCTCCCAGGACTTTGGTCAGTGGTTCTCATAAAAACTGCTTCAGGAGCTCAGAAGAGAGAGCCTAGGCATCTGAATTTAGTAAGAAGTAAGACAAATGATTATCATGTATTTAACTCCTGGGCCACGTGATGAGGAACAATGACATAAGCTAAAATCTCCGTTCACCAGTCACAGGTTGAAATTGTGAGGTGACTCCAAGCTATATTATCTGTGCTTGCTTGTGATTTTCTGTGTTGAGGCACTGGAATTGGTGGCATGAGTTTACTTTAGTTTTGAAAATATACAAGACCTGACAATATGTTCTCTTTACAGATTTTGTAAGTTAGGACTATTTTAAGAAAACTCATTGAGTGAGGCGCTTTAAAAGAGAGCACATGAACATTATTTAAAACAATAGCAAAACTAACATATATTGGTATTGAGAATACTTGTATCCTGGTTTTTATTTTCTCTTTATCTGTATAGTTTATTTACTTAGTTTAATTAGTTTATTTCTTACTTAGTTTATTTCTAACACTTTATCAGTTGAGAAGCTTATAAAAGTGCTACACACAATATGGTATTTCAAAAACCACTTTAGACTGAAGCTAATCTTGTTGTCAGGTGATTTAGGAGTGTAAATTTATACTGCCTTTCATTACGCTTGGAAACACTTTGAAGCATTGCAAAACCATGCCTACATATCATTGCAGTAGAGGCTTGGGTAATGATATTTTAATCAAATAGTGTGAAGATGTAAGGTGAAAATGGTAAAAATGGTAAAACACTCTTTGAAATGTTTGTAAAATATATTTTTAGTGTTGTCATTTGGCTTACTCAGGGCGGGCCAGTTGGGGACAGTCTGGGCTTTGATCTATAAGGAATGCTTGATGTGGCTACAATAAATGAGGCCTGTAATCCTATTTAATATAGATTTCACACCTAGCTCCTTACTTAACTGGCAGAATGTGAATTGGTTCAGCTCCCGCCAAAGTAGTGTTTTTGCAACACACACAGGCAATGTGCCTGGTGCAAACACAAGACTTATCTCAGACCCTAGGGCTAACCACTTCACAGTCAAAGAACTTGGCAGTCAGAGATTCTGTTGCTTATTAGGATCAAATGATCTATTTTGTTTATATTGTAAGCAGTTTAACTTAATTCCCAAGAAGTTATAGGATATGAAACATCGCAATAAATTGCTCATTTTTAATACAGAGAAGTATACAATTATCAGTTCCTCTCATCCTGTTGGAAGGAATAATTGTTTGAAAAATTAGTGGTTGGAATGGTGTTCAGGGCAGCCGTATGTCTTGGTTCAGGCCTGCTCACACTCACAAGAGTGTGAAATCCTACACGGTGTGGTATCACTTTTATGTGGAATCTAAAAAATTGATACAAGTCAACTTATTTGCAAAACAGAAATGGGCTCACAGACACAGAAAACAAACTTACGGTTACCAAAGGGGAAAGCAGGAGGAGAGAGGGAAAAATTAGAAGTTTGAGATTTACAGGTACACACTGCCATATATAAAATAGATAAATGACAAGGGCCCACTGTATCACACAGGGAACTAAATTCAATATCTTGTAATAACATATAATGGAAAAGAATCTGAAAAAGAATATATATTTATTCAGTTATTTGCTGTACGCCTGAAACTAGCACCACATTGAAAATTCAACTGTACTTAAATAAAAAAAATTTTTTTAAACCAGAATAGTGAGGTCTTCATACAATCTCTATAGAACTTTCAAATCTCTGTGTATTGAAGATATGGCAAACGAAGCTCACTGCATTTTTCCAAATGTGATCTGATCCACTCCAAGTAGAATGGAATCACCTTCTGACCTTCCAGGCTTGGTTCAGAGTACCTTTACTCACATAGTTAAATCTGTGTTAACTGATTTGGCATATATGCTATGAGATGGACTCATCAAATGCGTGGTCAACCCTAGCGACCAGATTTTTGGGATCTAAACACCATTTCCCATTGAGTGGAACCAGGTATCCTTGGAGAAATGGTTAATTCCAGGCTTGGGGCTGGGAAATAAAAAGATGAACCTGGAACATCTTCTTATGCTAAAAAAGTAAGGAAGTGGTCAAAGAATGATAGGAACATACCAAAAGGATGTAGAAGCCAACGTGAAGAGACTCCCATTAACTAAATCTGGAACAATTGAAGAATCAAATGAAGAATGCTAGTCACATTATCTTACTGTATAAAACAGCAATATTTTATTTCATACATTCATGGGATAGATGAATGTGTTCAATTTATGGGGAAAAGAGAAAGCTTTACCTTATCATAAGGACAATGTCAATTAATAAAATTGGTAGGGACGGTGGAATTAGAAAGTCACTACTTGGCAAACTGTCTTAGTAATATTTTAGGCAAGAAACATTAATCGATGCTAAAACTAACGGGTGAAAGTTGGATGATGAATGAGTTGGTACATAATCTCTGGAATCTTTCCACAAAATAGTTGTTAATTATAAAGGGGAAAAAAGTAACTCTTTAGTGAAGAAACCTGGTGGACACTACTTCACTCAAGTGATGGGCAAACCCAATATCCTGCTTCCCAAGGTAGGATGCAGTTAAAACAACATGGTGCCACTTCTGTAATATCCCTGCCAATCATGTATGACTTGAATTGAATAATGAGAAGATATCTGATAAGCCTGATGGGGAAATTCTACTTATTCGGAGGCTTAAAAAATGTTAAGGTCATAAAGGTCAAGGGAGGTCTCAAACTGAAGAGACATGACAACTAAGTGCAAAATACTGTTCTGGAGTTGATACTTCTGCTGTTTTTGGGAGAGTTGGTGAAACTTGAATGGGGTCTCTACATGAAGGGTATATGGAATTCTTTGTGCTGTTTATATACTTTTCTCTAAGTTCAAAATTATTTCAAAATAAATATTAAAAATGAAAAGGTACTAAGAAATGATATTTACAAAACAGTTCATCTGTTGGATTCCTTTAAATATTAACTTTCGTTAATGTAACTAAGAATTGTATCAATGATTTATACATGGCAACCAATGAATAATAAACTAAAATTCCAAGTAAATAAAATTCACAATTCAGGTTAATTAAGCACATGTATTTTCCTCTTCTCCCTCACAAAATT